TGGGTTCAGGTAATTCTCCTGCCTCAGCCTCCTGAGTAGCTGGGATTACAGGCACGCACCACCATGCCCAGCTAATTTTTTGTATTTTTAGTAGAGACGGGGTTTCACCACGTTGACCAGGATGGTCTCGATCTCTTGACCTCGTGATCCACCCGCCTCGGCCTCCCAAAGTGCTGGGATTACAGGCTTGAGCCACCGCGACCGGCCTCGGGAAAATCTTGATATTTGTGGTCTCGGAGAATTGCCTCACAGATGCCTTAATTACTCCATAAGGAGCAAGGGAGCTTGACCATGGAGGAATGTAGCAGAATTGAACTTGACCAACTGGTTAAACTACTTTACTCATGGCCACACTGATGTCCTGTACCTCCTGCTGACTTGTCACCTCCCCTCATCATTGCCCCAAATGTCTAAGCAAGGATCCAGACCGTGGGACGGTCTAAGGAAAACAGGACCAGATACTTCAAAAATGCCTCTGAAAAATTGAAACACCCCCACCAGGAGATGTGTGGCTCAGTGAGGCTCTGAGGTTGCACAGGGCACAGGAGTCTGGCTGGCTGGGAGGACTGTGGCTAATGTGGGGCTCTCCCCAGTTTTCTCCAGTGAACATAGGTGTCCATGTTTGTCTGCATACAGTTGTGTGTGTGATGTGGATGTGTCATCAGCAGGAAGGTAAGAGAGCACCCAGGCAGAGGAGGCGTCCTTAGACTCAGCAATAACTGCGGGTGCGGTGGCTCACACCTGTCATCCCAGCACTGTGGGAGGCTGAGGTGGGCAGATCACAGGAGGTCAGGAGTTCTAGACCAGCCTGGCCAACATGGTGAAGCCCAATCTCTACTAAAAATACAAAAACTAGCCGGGCGTGGTGTGGGTGCCTGTAATCCCAGCTACTCGGGAGGCTGAGGCAGGAGAATCACTTGAACCTGGGAGGCGGAGGTTGCGGTGAGCTGAGATCGAGCCACTGCACTCCAGCCTGGGCGACAAGAGTGAAAGTCCATCTCAACAACAGCAACAACAATAAAAATTAGCCAAGCATGGTTTGCACCTGGTTTCCAGCTACCCAGGAGGCCAAGGCAGGAGGACTGCTTGAGCCCAGGAGTTGGAGGCTGCAGTGAGCTGTGATCACAGCACTGCACTCAAGTCTGGGCCACAGAGGGAGACCCTGCCTCAGTCAAATGAAGCATAAGGACTGACAAGGGCACCAGTTCCCCCTTCCACAGGCTTCTGTGCATCTGAGTCCTGGCCAGAAGCCCACAGAGACAGGCAGGCCCATGGAGAGGGGAGCACCAGGGAGGGCTGAGCCGTGGAGAGAATTTAGCCAAGTCCCAGGCTGGGGGCAGGGAAACACGTGCATGTGCTGTCCATGAGTGGCCCAGGTGCTGGGAGCTAAGCACAGGGCTGCGAGTCAGGAAGGCAGCTCCGGCTGGAGGACGGGAGCTGGCAGCACGTGGCCCTGGTGGCAGTGAGGCTAGGTGCCATCCCTTCTGCGGCGGCTGCGGATGGGGTGCGGTTTCCGAGGCTTCCACCAAGCCCCTGTTCAGCATGGCATTAGCGCGGGGGGTCCTCGAGTGCTTGTGAGTCCGCAAGAGCTCCGGTGAGACTCAAGTGCGCCCACCCCATGATTCTGGACCCGGTGTCCCGCCTTACCTACCCTCAGGTTTAGGGACCATCGCAGCAGCCCCAGGGCTGCCAGGTATTTCACTGCCATTCTAGGATGAGGGAAATAAGGCCTGGACTGGAGGGCCACGAGCCCCAACAGCCAGGAAGGATCCGTACAGGGGTGGGGGGCCTGCCCCATCCCATCAGGTCAGGAGGGGGACGCTGAGCACAGGGACAGGTGGGCCGGGAAGAGGCTCAGGTGCCAGAGCGGAGGCAGCCGGGAGGGTGGGGAGAGCAGGGCACCGACGTGGGGACGGGACGAACCGAGGCCGGGCGAGCGCGGGCCGCTGGGGCCCCAGGGCTCAGTGCCGCTCACTGCGGGTTACCGCGCCCCCAGCTCGGCCCAGCCTGGCCCCGGCGAGCCCATCCGAGCCGCGCTTCCCGGGAGCAGAGGTCGGCAGCGCCACGCGGGTCGCCGGGCCCCGCGCGGGCTTCAGCGGCTCCAGGGCGGGGCGGGGCCGCCGTGGGCGGGGCCAAGCAGGACGCGGAAGCGCGCCCCGGCCCCGCCCCCCGGCCGCGTGGCTGCGCGTCCGGGCTGTTGCCGATAAAGTTGTCTGACGCCAGGCGGCGGCGGGTCACGTGAGCGGAAGATGGCGGCCCCGGCAGGTGGCGGAGGCTCCGCGGTGTCGGTGCTGGCCCCGAACGGCCGGCGCCACACGGTAAAGGTGACGCCGAGCACCGTGCTGCTTCAGGTGCGGCCACCGGCCCGAAGCGAACGGGTGGGCGGGTTGGGGGTCCCGCGCCGAGGCCCCGCCCCCTGCGGTCGGCGTCCGGGTCTTTAGGGGCGGGGCCTGCGGCGGCCAATGAACTGACTCCGGCGCGGCGTCCCCGCCCCCTGCTCGTGGGCACCTGCGCTTCCGCGGGGGTCCCGGGGGTCTCGTATGGGGGCGGAGCGGGGCGGGTGCAGCCCCCGGGGTGCGGCAGGGCCGGTGCCGCGTGTCACCCCCCTTGGAGTCCTGGGCGCCCGGCTGAGCCCAGCTCGCGAGGGCGCGGGGAAGAGGGAAGAGGAGCCCCAGACCCGCGTTCCCATCCCGGGGCGTGCCCCGGAGTGGGAGCCCGGGTTGCGGGGTGGCTGATGTCCTGGCCGTGGGGCGTGGAAGCGATTTTTGCCGAGTCATGCAGTGCACTTTTACTCGGGCAGCTTCTGACCTCGAGGCCATTAAATATAAAATATTAATTGAGCCTCTGCTGCGTTAGGGACCTTGAGGACCCAAAGTGCACACAACGCGTAGTCTGCGGGAGCGGCCCACGGCGTGGGGCGGCCGGGCCTGCACAGGTGGAGGGCGCGGCTGGGAGGCTGTTGGTGCCGGGCGTGCAGAGCGCAGAAGTGCGGCGCTCCGGCGGAGGCTGCGCCGGACCCTCTGGTGCCAGCGCCACGGCTTTGGCTGCTGGAGAAGAGGGGCGGAGGCGGTGCAGGCTGTGGGAGCAGGTGCACAGAACCGTGCCAGAGCCAGGGGTAGCCTCTGCTGGGCAGGGTTGCAGAACTACAGGGTTTGAACTTCATGGGGGGAGATCCCAGAGTGTGTGCCAGGAAGATCCTGGTGTTGCTTGCCGCCGGGGAACCCTGAATGGAGCCTCCCTGCAAAGCGGAGACAGCGAGGAAGGGAGGGACGCCCGTGGCTGTTGTGGGGACCGTCCATAGTGTGGTTTGTGCTTGGGTTTGCCTGGGCAGAGCAACTAGCTTGCCAGGAAGCTGAGTGCCCTTGGCTGGCCTGCCCCACTGCGCCCGCCAGCCCGGCCCACTCAGCAGTTCACCATCCTTTCATCTCACCCCTAGGTTCTGGAGGACACGTGCCGGCGGCAGGACTTCAACCCCTGTGAATATGATCTGAAGTGAGTTTGCCCCAGCTCAGCAAGCAGGGTCTGAGTGTATCTGTGCCCCTGCCCCCTGAACATACTGGCTCTCACTTGGAAGAGCCCCCCGGTGGTTTTAAACAGTCATCATATATTCCCTCCCAGCTCTGGAGACCCTTGGGCCGCACTCTCTCCGATTGCCCTGAGGGAGAATCCTTCCTGCCTCTTCTGGCTTCTGATGGCTCCAAGTGTCCTCGGCTTGTGGCCGCATTGCTCTCTGCCTCTGATTCCTTGTGGACTTTTCCCGTTTTCTGTGTCTTTAGAAGACCCTTGTCACTGGATTAGGGTCCCCTTATATAACCTAGGGTGGTTTATCATGACATCTCCAAAGACCAGGATATCCAAGAAGATGGTCAGAGGAAATTGACCCATGAGTTTTGGGGGGCACCGTTCAATGCCCCTAGGGTTTTTTTTTTTTTTTTTTGAGACTGTTTCACTCATGTTACCCAGGCTGGAGTGCAATGGCGCAATCTCGGCTCACCGCAACCTCTGCCTCCTGGGTTCAGGCAATTCTCCTGCCTCAGCCTCCTGAGTAGCTGGGATTACAGGCACGCGCCACCGTGCCCAGCTGATTTTTTGTATTTTTAGTAGAGAAGGGGTTTCACCATGTTGACCAGGATGGTCTCGATCTCTTGACCTCGTGATCCACCCGCCTCGGCCTCCCAAAGTGCTGGGATTACAGGCTTGAGCCACCACACCTCCCTCTAGGTTTTGTTGCATTTGGTTGTGTAAGTTCCCAGTGGGGCTCTGAGGGGAAGAGCTGACCATGGAGAAATAAGATACCCTGAAAACTACAGGGAGATCCCTGTGGTCTCACAGCCCCTGGAATTACCTCTATGTGGGGGTATTATTCCGAAGAGAGGGCTTCTGCCAGATTCTCAGAGTCTGAGACAGCAGAAGGGTCAGAGCCCTCATATGGGTAGGATTTGTGTGTCTATCCTACATGTGAAGCTTTTTACTTTATTTTTTTTTTTCCCTTTCTTTTTTTTTTTTTTTTTTTTTTTTTTTTTTTTTTTGCTCTGTTGCTCAGGCCGGAGTGCAGTGGCATGATCTTTTTTTGAGACAGGGTTTCACTCTTGTTGCCCAAGCTGGTGTGCACGGTGGCGTGGTCTTGGCTCATTGCAACCTCTACCTCCTGGGTTCAAGTGATTCTCCTGCCTCAGCCACCACGCCCAGATAATTTTTGTATTTTTAGTAGAGACGGGGTTTCACCATGTTGGCCAGGCTGGTCTTGAACTCCTGACCTCAGGCGATCTGCCCGCCTTGGCCTTCAACATTGGTGGGATTACAGGGGAGACCTGTTTTCACAGTACTGTTGTCCTAATATTGGGGGCAGAGGGCAGGAGCCTGCCTTACCGGCCTTGCCGACCCTGTCTTATGGGGCTCTCCTGGGAGGAGTTTCTTAGGGGTGATACTTGCCAAGTCATTCCAGTCGTCCACCCTGTGTCTGGACTGCGTGAGAGTCCCAGGACCTGTGCTCTGAGTGCTAGGTGGTCTTGAGTATCCTGCCTCAGACTCCACACCATCCTTCCCCAGTTTGTGGTCAACTGAAGAATGAGGTTAATACATTTGGGTTGCATCCTGAAGGGTGGCCATTCTAACAGGCTGGGAAGTGTAGCCGTGAGCCAGAAGCCAGAAGCAGACGCTTGGAGACAGGGAAGAATAAGACGGGGTTTACACCGGATGGGGTGGCTGATACAGATGTACTTAATACGCTATGGGAGGATCGTGAGATTCTTGAAAGGAGAACTGTGCACGCGCACAATTGAGCTTCATGCCTCTCCACGGGTCCTGTGTTTAAAAAATGGCAGCGCTAGTGTGACCTGAGGGTGGAACTTTTGGCCTCTGAAGTTAAAGGTGAAGCACGCTGGGTGAAGTGGCTCATGCCTGTAATCCCAGCACTTTGGGAGCCCAAGGTGGATAATTGCTTGAGTCCAGAAATTCTAGGCCAGCCTGGGGAACATAGTGAAACCCTGTCTCTACAAAAAAAAGTAAATAAATAAATCAGTAAAAGAAAAACGTGGCACACCAGAGGGCACAAAAACCCTCACTATGCCAGAACCACTCCCTGGTTGGTGGTCTCTTATCAGGAAGAAATACCTGTGGGTTGTTTTGAAGAAGTGCAAGAGAGAAGGGCCTGGCTAGAGGTTGGCCATTGTCAGATACCAGCCGGGGAGTCTTTGGAGGGGTTGCTTTCTGTTTATCCCTTAGGGAAGAAAGCCCATAGGTGTGTCTGACCTCACACCCATTCATGGCCAGGAACTCAGCTTTCAAGGTTTATGGAGACCCCTGGGCCAAGAGGAGGCCAGTTCTGTTGCTTAGGGGGCTTAGGGTTTCATTTTTATTTCTTTTTTATTATTATTTTTGAAATGGAGTCTCACTCTGTCACCCAGGCTGGAGTGCAGTGGTATGATCTCAGCTCACTGCAACCTCTGCCTCCCAGGTTCAAGCAATTCTCGTTCGTCGGCCTCCTGAGCAGCTGGAATTACGGGTGCCTGCCACCACACTCAGCTAATTTATGTATTTTCAGTAGAGGCAGGATTTCACTGTGTTGGTCAGGCTTGTCTCCAACTCCTGATCCAGTGATCTGCCTGCCTTGGCCTCCTCCAAAGTGCTGGGATTACAGGTGTGAGCCTCCGCACCTGGCCTATTTTATTATTATTTTTTGAGAGAGTCTCTCTCTGTCAACCAGCCAGTAGTACAGTGGTGCGATCTCGGCTCATTGCTACCTCCGCCTCCCAGGTTCACGTAATTCTCCTGCCTCAGCCTCCCGAGCAGCTGCGATTACAGGCACACACCGTCATGCCCAGCTAATTTTTTTTTTTTTTTGAGAGGGAGTCTCACTCCGTCACTCAGGCTGTAGTGCAGTGGCGCTATCTTGGCTCAGTGCACCCTATGCCTCCCGGGTTCAAGCACTTCTCTGCCTCAGCCTCCCAAGCAGCTGGGATTACAGACATCCGCCACTACACCTGGCTAATTTTTGTATTTTTAGTAGACACAAGGTTTCACCATCTTGGCCAGGCTGGTTACTTTTTGTATTTTTAGCAGAGACAGGGTTTCACCATGTTGGTCAGAATGGTCTCGAACTCCTGACCTCAGGTGATCCACCCGCCTTGACCTCCCAAAGTGTTGGGATTACAGGCGTGAGTCACCTCGCCTGGCCATTTTGTTTGAAAAGTCTTGCTCTGTCACCCAGGCTGGAGTGCACTGGCACAGTCTCGGCTTACCGCAGTCTCTGCCCCCCGGGTTCAAGCGATTCTTGTGCCTCAGCCTCCTGAGTACCTGGAATTACAGGCACGTGCCATGCCCGGCTAATTTTTGTATTTTTAGTAGAGATTGTTTCACCATGTTGGCTAGGCTGTTCTCGAACTCCTGACCTCAAGTGCTCCTCCCGCCTTGCCTCCCAGAGTGCTGGGATTACAGGCATGAGCCACCGTGGCTGGCCTCATTTTTATTTCTGACGGCTCACCTGCCCATGATCTGTGTGATGGTGTGTAGTGGGAGCCAGTGAGTGCGACTTTGAGGCAGGTCTTGCAGCACCATTGTAGTGTTTCCTGGTCTCCTTTTCCTCTGCTGAGGCAGTGCCCCGAACACGGCTCCATGCGGGGACACTGCTCTGTCCCCTCCACGGTTCCCAGTCTGCCTGCCCTCAGGTTCCCCGGATCTGCTATCCTGTCTTGCCCTAGATATTTCATGTGGCAATTTCCAGAGTCACTTTTCTGGCCAGTATAAAAGATTGATAGCAAAGTTTGTTCTCTGTTAATTCTTCTAGACATCCTCGAACTTTCTAAACTCTGTTTTCTAATTGTTTCCAGTGGCAGCTTGCATTTCCAAAGGGGGGGGGGCAACCGTTTTCTTTTTCTTTCTTTCTTTCTTCCCTCCTTTCTTCTCTTTCTTCCTTTTCTTTCCTCTCTTTCCCTCACTCCCTCCTTCCCGCCTTCCCTCCTTCCTTCCTTCCATTGCCTGGGCTGGAGTGGGAGCGCACGATTTGATCTTGGCTCACTGCAGCTTCTGCCTCTCAGGTCCAAGCAATTCTCTTGCCTCCGCCTCCTGAGTAGCTGGGACTACAGGCAACCGCTACCATGTCCCGCTAATTTTTGTATTTTTAGCAGAGACAGGTTTTCACCACATTGGTTAGGCTGGTCTTGAACTCCTGACCTCAGAAGAGCCTCCCGCATTGGCTTCCCACAGTGCTGGGATTACAGGCATGAGCTGCTGTGCCGGGCCAAGTATATTCAGGTTTCATGTGTGTTCTGCCCTCAGCCCTGGAGTTTTTTCCCTTTTATCTAAACTTTCGTTAAAAACAGAGCTCAGATATGACTATGCCACTGGGTGAGAGAGTGAAACCCTGTCTCTTAAAAAAAGAGTGAAAATAGGTTGCTCGTTGGCTCATACCTGCAATTCCAGCATGCCAGGATGCTGAGGTGGAAGGACTGCTTGGGCTCAGGAGTTTGTGACTAGCCTGGGCAACACAGCAAGATTCCCGTCTCTGCAAAAGATAAGAAAATGAGCCAGGATTTGTGGTGCACACCTATAGTCCTAGCTACTCAAGAGGCTGAGGTGGGAGGGTAGCTTGGGCCTGAGAGGTCGAGGTTACAGTGTGTTCTGTTTGCTCTGCTGCGCTCCACCCTGGGGAACAAAGTGAGACCCTGTCTCAAAAACAGAGTCAGAGCCTGACCCGTGAGAGGCATGAGTAATCTCTTGCTTGTTCTTTGGGTGACCGACTGGCCAGTGGTCCCCTTGAAGATCAGGGCCATGCAGCAGTTGGGATTTTCTTTTTTTCTTTTTTGAGACAGAATCTTGCTCTGTCATCCAGGCTGGAGTACAGTAGGGTGATTTCAGCTCACTGCAACCCCCACCTCCTGGGTTCAAGTGATTCTCCTGCCTCAGCCTCCCAGCAGCTGGGACTGTAGGCGCCCACCATCATGCCCAGTTAACTTTTGTATTTTTAGTAGAGACTAAAAATAGCTGGTCTCCAACGACCTCAACGGATCCACCTGCCTCGGCCTCCCAAGGTGCTGGGATTACAGGCGTGAGCCACCGCGCCTGGCCCACATGTGGGCTTTCTGTTGCTTCTCTTGGGTTGCGGCCCCATTTGGAGGGGGGCGGGAGCAGGAGTGGTGGGTGGCCACGCCGGCTGGTGGCGGAGGTGAAAGCGGAGGGACTCGGGCAGCCGGCTTTACTGTGGCGGCTCCAGCTGTGACGGCCGGGGGCTGTGACACTTCAGCTTCTCGAGTGTGGCAGTGTTCACCACCCAGACTTTCTGTGTGTTTTCTGAGCATTTGCCCTGGGGCGTCAGCACCCCAGACTCTGGAGGGGCGGCCCCTCAACGCGTCCGTCCAAGGCTCGCTTCTCCCTTTTCCCTGCTCCCTTCTGTGTGCGTGACGCCCTATGTAGTCATGTCCCGCCTTGTGCCACTGTAGATGATGTGGTCCTGCTCTTGGGGAGCTGCCATTTGCCGTGGATGGTGGGGCGTGTCAGGGTCTGCAGGGCAGCGAGTGGGCTCCGGTCTGTCTTGCAGGTTTCAGAGGAGCGTGCTCGATCTTTCTCTCCAGTGGAGATTTGCCAACCTACCCAATAATGCCAAGCTGGAGATGGTGCCCGCCTCCCGGAGCCGCGAGGGGCCCGAGAACATGGTGGGTGGTGCTCTGGGGAGGGTGACTGTGTGGTATGGGAGGATTTAGCTGGCCGGGCACAGGGGGTGTGGGGGTTGCTGGGGAAGGAGGGACATGAGTCTTAGCACTAATTCTGCCTTCCCTGCGTTGGGCCCGAGCAATTTTCTCTTCTTCGAAAGCTGGCAACTGAACATGAGCACCTCATGCTTTCTTTTTTCCCCTGACAGATCTCGCTCTGTCACCCAGGCTGGAGTGTAGTGGCGCCATCCTGGCTCACTGCGACCTCCGCCTCCTGGGCTCAAGCAGTTCTCATGCCTTGGCCTCCCTAGTAGCTGGGATTACGGACGCCGGAAACAACGCCCAACACATTTTTTTGTGTTTTTAACACAGGGTTTTACCATGTTGGTCAGGCTAGTCTCGAACTCCTGACATCCTGGGTCCGCCCACCTCAACCTCTAAAAGTGCTGGGATTACAGGTACTACCAGTGAGCCACTGCACTGGCCTAAAGTCTCATTCTTCGTGTGAAAGTTTTTCTTTCTTTTTGGTGGGGTCATTTGTGCCCTACCTGGCTCAGGGCGTTGGAAGCATTCACCCACCAGCCTGACATTCCGTACATAGAATTGTCCAGAATGCTAAGAGCCAGAAGCACTGCATGGTTGCTGCCCGGGCAGCTCCTTCGTTTCTCAGATGAGACAGTGCAGGGCTTAGGGTTTGCCCCAGGCTGGTCTTGAAATCCTGGGCTCAAGTGATCCTCTCATGTCAGCCTCCCATAGTGCTGGGATTACAGGCATGAGCCATTGTGCCCAACCAAAAGTTGGCATGTGTGCCGGGTGCGGTGGCTCGCACCTGTCATCCCAGCACTTTGGGAGGCCAAGGTGGGCAGATCACTTGAGGTCAGGAGTTTGCCACCAGCCTGGCCAACATGGTGAAACCCCATCTCTACTAAAAATACAAAAATTAGCCGGGCGTGGTGGTGAGTGCCTGTAATCCCAGCTACTTGGGAGGCTGAGGCAGGAGAATCGTTTGAACCTGGGAGGCGGAGGTTGTAGTGAGCCAAGATCACAGCACCACATTCCAGTCTGGGTGACAGAGTGAGACTCATCTCAAGAAGCAAAACAAAACAAAAGTTGGTGTGTTGAGGCGTAGCCGCAAACATTTACCGTCTCGTGGCTTCTAAGGGTCCAGAGTCTGGGAGCAGCTTAGCTCAGGGTCTCTCCTGAGGCTGCGGTCAGGCTCAGTGGAGGTGCAATCTTTCCAAGGCCCCACTAGGCAGGAGGAGTGTCTCCAACACAGCTTCCTCCTGTGGCGTCTGCACACCCCCCACACACACAGGCACACACATATACGTGCACATACTCCCGTACACGCCCATGCACACACGTGCACACCCACACATACCTGCACGCATATCTACATAACACCGGCACACACCTGCACACATTCACATACACTTGCACACACCCACCCGCACACATGCACATACACCCACACACACCCACCCGCACACATGCACATACACCCACACACACCCACCCGCACACATGCACATACACCCACACATCCGTCACACCCACGCACACGTGCGCACACATCCGCATATGCACACACATGCACACCCACACACACCCACGCACATATGCACGTACATCTGCACACACACGCACACCCACAAACATGCACATACACCACACAGTCGCACACCCTCACACACACACATGCACACTTACATGCTGGTGCAGCCTTGTTGGGGAAGCCTCCATGGCCCTCACTCCAGAGTACACAGGAGGGCAGCACTTCTCCGTGGGGGTCAGTCTCTCCCCAGAGGCCTGGGCAGGAGCTGTCGCCCTCTCTGTCTGGAGAGCCAGTCTGGGGTGCAGACGGAACCACCGCCTTTCTTCCTAAGGACGTTTCTCGTGTCCTGTACCCTCCAGGTTCGCATTGCTTTGCAGCTGGATGACGGTTCCAGGTTGCAGGACACCTTCTGTTCAGGCCAGACCCTCTGGGAGCTTCTCAGCCATTTTGCACAGACCAGGTGAGCATCAGTGGGCGGATGGGGGAAGCTGCAGGGGTCACTGGGTCTGGTCCAGAGCTGGACACCCAGTCTCTGTGCTGGACCGTGGTGCCTCTTGGGCTTTGCAGTCCTTGGAAGAGGAGGGGTGTGTGGGCTGCCGTTCGCGAGTGGTAGTCTCAGGGATGGTTGGTCACAGCTCATTGTTCTGAGCTTCCTGGGTCCAGCGGCCCTGCCCTGCCCTCCCAGAAGAGCAGGGATGTGCTTCTGTCCTTGTGGGGGCCTGGGGAGCATAAGGGGAGACATTTGGTGCTGGGGGCAGGGCTCTCATGCTTGCTTCCCCTGGATGGGACCAGAAAGTCTGTTTTTTTTAAGAGGAAGGGGCTCACTATGTCGGTCGCCTAGGCTGCTCTTGAACCCCTGGGCTCCAGCAATCCTCCCATCTCGGCCTCCCAAAGTGTTGGGATTACAGGGGTGAGCCCTGTGCCCCACCAGAAAACTCTCTTAATAGTAATTGGCTGGCCAGGAACAGTGGTTGACGCCTGTAATCCTAGCACATCGGGAGGCCGAGGGTGGAGGGTTGCTTGAGCTCATGAGTTTGAGACTAGCCTCCGCGACATAGTGAAAAATAGAAACATTAGGCCAGGCATGGTGGTGCACGCCTTCGGGCCCAGCTACCCCGGAGGCTGAGGTGGGAGGGTCTTAGCCTGGGAGGTGGAGGTTGCAGTGAGCCCTGATCGCCCTCCAGCCTGGGAGACAGGACAAGACCCTGTCTCAAAAAAAAAAAAAGTAATCTGTCGGTTAATGGTTGAGACTTCGTTTCTGAATGTGTAAAAATGGGTGCTTTGTAAATTTGGGTCATTTCATTGTGGGCTGGAAATCTTTGTATGCTGTGAAAGGCTCAGCCAGCAGAACGGAAGGGACTCGGGGCTGGGGCTTGCTGGGGAGTTCTCGCTCTCTCTGGGCCTTGGTTTCCCCACCTGTGCCTGGGTGGTGTGTGGACGGGGTGCATTCCTGTCTTGAGGACTCAGTGCAGGGCCTATGGGAAGGTGACTGCGTGTCGGGCACTCTCAGTGGCCCCGGGGCTGGGCCTGCCCCCATCTGACAGTGGAGCCACCTGCACAGCACAGGTGTTGCATTCACAGAGGAGGGCGCAGAGGTCAGGGGTCCTGGGGTTGGAAGCCACCCCAGCAGGTGTTGGGGTGAATGGAGTCTTCTGGGGAAGACAATGGGTTAAGTATGGGCACAGAATTCATTCTCCTAAAATTCGACTAAAACAAGTGACAGAACCGGTGAGAAAAGACGCAGCCACAGGCAGGAGTGGGCAGGACCCGAGGCAGGAATGGTGCCAGGCAGGGAGGCGGGCGGCCCCAGGTGCTGGGTAGGCACTGGGTGAGGAGCACGGATCTCGGCACCCAGCTCTGCTGCTTCCTGAGAGAAGAGTGGCAGAGGGCAAGAAGAAACCCACACAGCGAAGGGAGTAAAAGTCAGGAAAGATGAAAGTCCTGAAGGAAATGCCCTGGGCCGGCCGGTGCCCCAGGCGGTAAGTAGGTGCGTGGTGATGGCCATTCTCCCTGGCTGTGCTGTGCTGTCGTCAGATCCGGATGGAGGTGAGGAAATGGCCCACAGTGGCCCCGGGCTGCCACTGGGGAGGGGCCGAGGGTGTCTGGGTGGTGGGACCGCCACTGTGCTAGCATAAGCCTCTTCAACAGACTTTGTAATCTTCGTAGGAAACTTAGTTTAAGAAACAACAGGGGTGGCCGGGCACGGTGGCTCACGCCTGTAATCCCAGCACTTTGGGAGGGCAAGGCAGGTGGATTGTTTGAGGTTAGGAGTTCAAGACCAGCCTGGCCAACATAGTGAAGCCCTGTCTCTACTAAAAATACAAAAATTAACCAAGACTAATGGTGCCTGTATTCCCAGCTACTCGGGAGGCTGAGGAGCGAGATTCACTTGATCCCAGGAGGTGGAGGTTGCAGTGAGCTGAGATTGTGCCATTGGGGTCCAGCCTGGATGACAAGAGCAAAATTCTGT